AATCCTTGATGTAAGTTTTTAGAGCTGTCTCTTTCCTCCACACAGCAGTATTCCCATTGAGCCCTTTATTTGTAACACTGAGAAGCAAGTATTCAAACCTTTCTCCTTGAGTCCCTTCCGGATGTTACAGATTTATCATCACACAATGCTAAGTAATAAATACTAGGTCTGTTGCTTCCAGTTTCTTAGTATAGGCCCTTTGAAGCCCATTTAACATTTTCTTCTAAATGTTATGTCCATCTTGTTATTAATTTAAAAACTATGTGTGTATAAGCAAACATTGCCTATGTCCTTTCTTTTTTCCTTTTACAAAGTAAAGTCTAACCTTTAGTTTCTATTTGCATTCAGAGTGGTTACTAATCATTTCGCTATTCCAGTGTGCATAGGTAACGTATTAATAAGCAATTGGTAGCTCAGAGGTAAAGCATCTGCCCACAATGCAGAAGACCTGGGTTCCATCCCTGGGTTGGGAAGATCCCCTGGAGAAGGGAATGGCAACCCAGTCCAGTATTCTTGCCTGGAGAATCTCCATGGCAGAAGAGCCTGGTGGCCTGCAGTTCATGGGGTTGCAAAGAGTCGGACGTGACTGAGCAACTAACACACACACACACGTAATGTATATACATGGGTACACATATAGTGAACAGTCGATCCTCATTATTTGCAGATTCTGTATTTGCATATTCACTTACTACAATTTACTTGTAATCCAACATCAGTCCTGTACGGTACTTCTGCAGACACAAACAGAGCAGTGAGAAATTTAAGTTCTATGATCCACGGTTTTCCAGATGAGATTCAACAAGGTGACGCTCTGCATTTGTGTCAGCTGTCAAACAGCGATGACCAGAGGGTGGAGACGGCGCTGGGGAGGGCGCACAGGGCAAGAACCTCTGGTTCTGGGACCAGCGGGACTGGGTTTAAGTCTCAGTTCTGATACCTGCTCCTGGGGCAGGCTCAGCAGTCTCCTGACACTTCTGAACTTTGTTTTCTCTCGTAAAACAAAATAGAACAAGTTGTTTCTAGGATGAGTTGTTTCCAGGATTTCAGATATAAAATCTATGTGAGATATATGTGTATATTTCCCCTAAGGACAGTGGTTCAAAATTCACTAATTCATTTTTCATGTTATAGAACTTAACTACTGCAAATAATAAGAATCTGTTGTTTGTATGCATATTGTACTAGACAGCTTGATGGAAATGCCAAATTCTGTTCCAAAGGATTTATAGTAACTTATATCTGAGCAGTTTTTTACTATTTCACATAGCTTTTCAGTATCCTATCAAGTAGCTTTTATACAAAACAGCAACGAGACGATCATGTACAACTATCATGGTACAACTGTGAGTTGTACCAAACACTATGCTAAATGTTTTATACGCATTTTATAATTCTTATGAACCTGAATTTTGAGTACTTCTGTCTCCATGTTACCTCGGTTCACAGAGGTTAAGTAACCTGTGCCCAAGGCTGCAGCACTAGGAGGCAGCCAAGGCAGATGGAGCCTGAAGCTGCGGAACTCCAGCGTTCCCTGCCAGTCTCCATCGATGGCCACTGCACTGCATCTCCTTTGGTGACTAGGAATCCGTGCACAAACCTCTTCTGACAGCATCTGTCACAGCGGCCAGTCTGGTACGACACCAGGCACAGTACCCAAGAGCTGTCAATGCTGCTGACAGTCACCAAGTCCTCTCTCTCTAAACTTCAGCCTCCCGAGAGGGGACTTTTGACCCTCATGTTCTTTATCTCCTATTTAAAAATGAGGATATCAGTAAGACTGTTAAGGCTCAAAAATCAAATCATTTTGGAAACTTTAAAGCACTATTTAGCTGTAAGTGGTTATTAAGCTAGCTTTTGGAAAGTGCTGTACATTGTACCTGGGCTTCCCAGGTGGCACAGCGGTCAGGAATCCACCTGCCAATGCAGGAGACACAAGAGATGCGGGTTTGACCCCTGAGTTGCAAAGGTCCCTGGGAGCAGGCAGTGGCAACCCATTCCAGTCGTCTTGCCTGCAAAATTCCATGGACAGAGGAGCCTGGCGAGCTACAGTCCACGGGTGACAAAGTCGGACACGACTGAGCACACACTTATACATCATCAAGTTTACTGCACTATTTCATTACCAATGTGAGTAATATATAGCATCCCACTGATTAAGACAACTCATATAGCATTTCAGTGATCAAGAATCAACTCTGTAAAAAAAAAAAAATCATTAGCACTTTATGCAAAGGCGAGGAAAGGTTTGAAAAGGATGAGGAAAATACTTGTCTCCAACTTAGAGGAGCATTCCAAGGTCACCTTAATAGAATATGCTTCCTGTTCCATTAATGAAAATGTGTTTGCCGTCCATTATTTTCTCAAAATTTAGCATTTTAAAAAATTTTACCTTTTGATGGCTGTATAATAAGACACATTATATGCAGTTTAAAGAAAATGTTTCTAGCCAAGATGGTTAATTAAAGAAAAACTCCTATTGCATATCGACTCTCTTTATAAAATTAGAGATATGTTTAACTCTGGGGGAAATCAATAAATTAAACTAATGCCGTTATGCTTTCTATGTTTTCCTACCAAAACGTCAAGATGTATTCATCTTTGCGTATCCATCCTGCCCAGCGCGTTCTTCACACAGTAATTACACAGTAAATACATCCTGCCGCACAGGGAGCAGCCAGAGCTGCTGGTAGCCGGAGCACCTTCCCTAATCATATACTTATTCTAACGTTGTACGTTTAGACCTAAAAAATTTTCTTGGTTCTCGAATTTTCCTCCGCAAATAATGATTTCTTCCATGTAAAAAATTAACCTGACTCTATACTTCTGACAACTAGCGTATGTCTCTTTGTTTGCTATGGAATTGTAATACTTGATATAGAGGTTAGCATACAGAATTCACAGCCTGAACTGATACAGCTATAAAAGGCCACAGGCTCTAGTCCAGGGTCTAGTTCCAGAAGTTTCTTTCTCTTCTAAAATAAGTCCATTATCTTGAACTCAGAGTGGGAAAAAGCTTAGTCTAATTTTTACTTTGTGGGGGCAGATCCTGATCAACTAAAGGAAAAGGTCAAAGATCTAGAGACACAGCTCAAAACTTCAGATCTGGAAAAGCAGCATTTGAAGGTAAGCATTTAATTGTATCTAATTATAGTATTATAAATATTGTGAAAACAGCTGTTGAAAACTATTTTTATGATCACAATCTCTGAATTTTAAGTTTGTATCCTAAATATTCCTGGAATCACATTTTATACTTACATTTAAACCTTGATATTAAGGTTTTTATATTCATCTGACTTTATTAAAAATATTATAGAGAACTACCAAAAAATTGAGACAGAACAAATGGGATTCTTTAAAGAGTTAATTATTTTTAATTGTCACAAATATAGCTTATTATTTTAATATTTTCCTAAGTTTTGGGAATAGTGTCTTTTTCTTTCTTAAATTCTTTTCAGAAATGGTTCACTTAAAGATACTTGATATCTTTTATGCTTTATCTGTTTAAGACTCTAAACAGAACGAAAGAGCATAAATATGAAAATTAATTAGTGCTCACTGGCTATTCTACCTGGTCATTAAAGCTTGAATTATTTCTTTACCACATGCTTAACTTTTAGCCAGGCAGAAGCCATACAGTTTCCCTGATCACAAATACATTTATAACAGGTGACCACTATTCATTAAAAATTAGGTACTTGTAAAGAAAATAGAAATGAAGCCTAAACCAAAGAACTGTAACCAAAATAACTTCAGTGTTGTGAATAACTAAGATTTTTCACTGCCTCACACTGAGAACATCTTAAATATTCTTTTGGGGAAAGATTAAATCCTCTCTGATTTAATAGTTGATAAATTATAGTGCCAGACTAGGACATAACTCAAGAGAATAATTTGACTTCTGCCTTATATTTGACTATTCAGGTTTCTTTGGCTTTCATGTTTATAATTCATTCTCTTTAGTTCATACCTAAAGAATGTATTTTTTTCCTCTGTATACCTTTAAAAGATAATATGTTCTTATTAGGAGGAAATAAAAAAGCTGAAAAAAGAACTGGAAAATTTTGATCCATCATTTTTTGAAGAAATTGAAGATCTGAAGTATAACTACAAAGAAGAAGTGAAAAAAAATATTCTCTTGGAAGAGAAGTTAAAAAAACTTTCTGAACAATTTGGAGTTGAATTAACTAGTCCTGTTGCTGCTTCTGAACAGTTTGAAGATGAGGAGGAAAATCCTGTTAATTTCCCCATATACTAAAAGGCCATCTCTAACTAGAGTTTTATTTAACTATTTACTAACTTTGTAAGTTAAAATTCCATCTGGAAATCAAGCAAGTCTGACCTACATGATTTCCTTCCCAATACCTCATAGCTTTACTCAAACTGGAATTTTTAGTAAATTATATGAAAATTTCAACATATTAGGAAAGTATATTTTTGAAGACTGTTAGGATATGTTATATCTGTCAAATAGCCAATAAGCTATGGTAAATTTTTATACAATTACAATGTAGTACTAAGTTTTTTAAACATTTAAAACTGGGGTTTTATATATACTTATATATTTATATATGTGTTAGGATTCTCAAATTATGTCTATGTATGTTATTAAGTTGAGCCATATGTTTTGTTAAATGTCTAGCAATTTTAAATTCAGTTTAAACTATTTAATTTTTAAAGTAATGGTCCAAAATTGTTGGTTTGTCTTTTACACTACCTATGTACAATGGACTGAATCCAACCTTTGTACAAGGTGGAGAGCTTATTATTATATTTTTATTTCCAGAGGTTAAAATTCATTTGCTTTTTCTAAATAAAATTTTGAATAAATATTTGCAGCTGGAAAATTGATTGCTTCAAATGCTAAAAGACATATTGCTATATTAAGACACTGAACAATAAACTAAAACTGAGATATTTTTACCTTATAAACATGGCAGAGTATTCAACACTGAAACAGAACAACAATGAAGCTGGTTTTTAATTGCACTTCCAGTTTATACATTAAGTATTATATCTTTGAGCCTACCAAATTTCTGATTGTCTATTTTTGAAAAATGATTAAATAAACACTTAGCATCAAAGGCATACTCATATTTGTTCAGATTCATGTTGATAAGAACTGGTTTTGAATTCATGTAAGTATCTGGGATCGGCCAACATAAACCAAGATGGTGGCGATGGACCTGAAAAGGAAAAAAAAAAGTTAGCTTTAGCCTATATTATCTTTACTCACAAATCTTTTGAGTGCCTACTATTTCTCAGCCACTGGGAGTTATTTAAGGCTCCATTTCATCTAACCCTTTTTTTTAATAGCTGTTTTCCTCCTGACATAGTACATATTTACTTGCTTATTGTCTATCTTCCCCATTAGAATATAAGCTTCATGAAGGCAGAGACACTGTTTTGTTAATTTTGTACTTTCAGCACCTGGAAACATTCCAGGAACATAATCAGGGGCTCCATAAAAATGGTAATGAATAATAGAGTCTGTTGCTAAATACAGAAGGTAGCCAGTTGAAAAATGTGGGTAGAAGTCATTCTAACCAAAGGGAATAATGTGATAGAATAGTGCGTTTTGCTCTGGTTGCAGTTAGTTAAGAACATACACAATGTGTGTATGTTTGAGAGATGGAAGTGGAGAGTTCTAAAAATTTTAGCAGGTGCCAGATCATGAAAAATCTTAAATGTCACTACGCAGGGGAACAGTATTCTCATTCATTTGTAAAGAAAGGACAGTACAGGGATAAGACTGAAAGATAATGCTTAGGATGGTGATAAAATAATTCAAGCATGAATCTTGGTTTAAATTAAAATTAACAGCCAATTGGTTGGTGAGAAGTACACAGATACAATAGATGAGAATCTTTCAGAACTGATAATCAGATGTATGAAGTGATGGACAGAGGTGTTAAAAATGATTTCTAAGTTTTTGGCTTAATTGTTTGGAGTCTGGGTTGGTCCAAACTGGATTAGTTCCAGTTTTGAACATTACAGTGTGAACCTGTGTGAAACTAAATAGACAAGTCCAGGACACAGAAAGGGCAAAAAGTGTAAAATAATTCATTCTGTATATATTAACTGTCACCTTGGCACTTAACAAATTCTATAATCAAGCGAGTTTGAGAAATGCTTTCATGTGAAGTCATAATACAGATGATTCAGAGAACACATGTTCAACATGAATTTCCAAGAAGGAACATGTAGTATGTAGGGTCTTCCAGATGTTTCCATCACTTTAATTCTGAAGCACATCTAGAAGAACCAAAGCCCCACAGCATGCATATTGGGAAACAATATTATCATATAAAGGTGGTGGCACCTGAGATGAAGAAATTACTGCGTATCAGAATTACTGCAATTTGTAGAGCATTGCAGTGCCACTTCTACTTTGTTTCAGGAACATAAAATGACATAATCCTACAAATTATTTTCTGCCATTACCTTGATTAAACAGCCATCACTGCAATGCCATACTATTCCTTCAATTTTACCCTCTCTGCAACCATTAAACCAGGACAACAGATCACTGTGCTTCAAGGTAGGTAGATTTCTTATTTGAAATGCTCCATGTGGTATAAGAAGATGTAATGGATGCTTTTTGCTTCCTAACCCTAAAGTGATAAAAATTTGCCATTAGCCATACAGAAGTTTCGAAAAGAATTAGAAAATTTCTCTCTCCAAGTAAAAAAAAAGCCTCTTAAAACACTCAGGAATAAATTTACCAAAAGGTCTGATTACTTGAGAAATACATTACAACTGCCTTCACTCAGAAGTTTGCACTTTATTTCACTAAGTCTAAATTCTACCTTCAAGTGCTCTATACCAGGAGTTGGCAAACTTTAACCTTTAGACCAAATCTAGCGAAATGCCTGTTTTTGTAAATTGTTTCAATGGAACACAGCCAACCCATTCATTTAAGTACTGTCTATGGTCTTTCAGAGATATGGCCCCAAAAAACTAAATATTTACTATGTAGCCTTTTACAGAAAAGTCCACCAACCACTGCTCTACACCACTGGCCACAATCATTCAATGTTTGCCAAACAGCCGCGCTGTATCTGGTAACTTGCATAGTTACTGCCTTAGCTTCTTTTCACCTGCCAATCAATCTGATCTCTATATTGGATTTTGTTATTACAGCTTTAATGACCTTGGGTCTGTCTTCATCCGCCTGTCAACAATGCTACATAGTACCCTCAGGACTTGTGCTCAAATCATCATGGTATATATTCTGATGCTTGATATGATATTCATTGCTAATTCTTTCATTTATTTTACTCTTAGCTGTTATAATTAAACTAATTACCTCACTATGAATGGATAAAGATATAGGGTACACATACAGAAAATGGAACATTGGGTATAAAAAAAGAATGAAATCCTGTCAATTGTAATAACATGTATAAACCTAAAGGATATTATGCTAAGTGGAATAACAGACAAGTACTACTAAAAAAGGGAATCTACAAAACAACTCCAAGTTTATTAGTCACGCCTGTAGTGTGTATTTCTTTCAGTTGAACCTAGGAAGTTTTCTTTATAAGTGACTGCTATAACTAAACAAGAAAAAGGCTTTTACTCACCATAAGGATTTCCATTAATATTGGTTCCTATAAGCTCCAGTGTTTGTTCTAGAAGATCTGCGAGCGGCACTGCACTAATTTCCAAAAGGCCAGGATCATCAGGATGATGCCTCAGGACCAGGGCGATCTCAAACTCATAATTGACTACAGACGAATGCCAGCAGTACTGTTTGTTGCTTTTCTCCACTGGTACCCAACCTAGCATTTAAAGAAACAAGTGCTTTTTTTTTTTTTTTGCATTGTTTTTCTCTGGATTAAGACTAAGGTAATTTTAATTTTTGTAGCAAATTTTCTGGATGTTCTATCACACACAGGTATCATTCAACATCAGTGGAGATGTTAACAGTTTTACTACTTTGTAAATCATCCTCTCTTTTTCTAATCATAAGGTCTCGATTCTGCTGAGGTATTAACCTGTTTGATTATTTACTACAGAGTACCCAGAATTCTTTTTAAAGAAAATTCATATTTTCAATAAGAACTGAGCACCATTCTAAGACACAGCACTAAAACCTTTTTTCAATTTTCTCTCTACCTCCTCTCCAGTTTCAGGGATAACAGACAGATGCAACTGTTCCACAATTTATTGTATTGTTCCAGTATTTATTGAGCAGTTTATTGATTCTACATTTATCAAATGCTATTCCCTTCCTAACTCCTGTCGCCAGATTAGGCTTCTTTGTTGTGGAGAATTCCTTACCAAAAAACCCAAACTATGACATAACCACTATTGTGACCATCGCATCTTTGGCATTCATTATTCACCCAGACTACTGTAATAACCTCTCTGCTAGCCTACTACCTCCAACTCCCTGCCCTTTTATCACAGTTCTAGTTCAAGAATTTAGATTTAGTTCTGCTGTACCGCTGCTTAATAGTCATCTTTAGGATAAGCCTCACAAAGGTCTTCAACTAGAATGCAAAGCCCTTTAAGATGTGACCCCATTACACATCTCCAGCGTCTACTTTTATAACCCAAGTTACAAACATTCCAGCCACACTAAGGTGTTATTTAAAATTTCCAAAGGATGCCAAGACCTCTCCCCTTTGTGAGAGTTTGCCTAAGCTAGCCTCTCATCCCTTGCCAACTAACTTCCTGGTTCTTGAGCTTCAGGATAAATGTCCACTCTCCTTAGGTGACTCTATTAGTCACCACAGGTTGAGCTAGGAATTCTTCCCCTTTTTTCCAACTGTACCTTGTGTATTATTTCCTTCTAGTTCTTAAATCATACTATTATTGGTAGATTTTTTTTCCTGCTGCCTACAAGATCATCAAGGATAAAGGTTCTGATCCTCATTTTTATGTTACTAAAATCTATGCACATTATAGGTACTTAAAATATATGCATATTGTTAACTTCAGTCTAAAAAGTAAAGGCTTCTTAATATGGTTTAATCAGTCATACATCTATCCTGACAATACTTCAAGGCTATTCCCAAACTCAATGCTTTATTAATTTTTACAGACTATAGGTAATAAACTGTCCATCTAAGAAAATATTCTAAAACTGAAAGGGCATTCTTGATATGAAACATCTTTTGTATAAATACCATGAACCACCATATTAAAATTATATTCTATAATTTTCAATTGCATGTATCTTTTGTTCTTTTTACTAGTAAACACAAAACTGTATTTTAGAAGAGATCTAGTAATACCAGGAATGTGTCCATTTTCATCAGGCATTGGATTCCCATTTAATTGTTCTATTTCCTTCGCTGGTATCCAGCATTCTGGAACAGGTTTGAAGTCCTCCTCAACATTCCAAAAAAATTCTAAAAGAATTAAATAATCTTATGTGTGGTGATACTTTAAACAACATAAAACACTGAACATATTCAAAGTAGGAACAACTAATGAACCCCTCAAATCAGATACTATATTAATTAGTCTCCATTCATTACCACCACCACACTTCTCAGGGTTAAGGTACTAACACTTCAAATTTTCAATTTTGAACCCACCATCTGTAAAAGTAGGTTAACAGTCTCATTAAAGCACCCAATGTTACAGTGTGTATAGATTTATGGTGAATTTTTAATGCACTATGAATACAAATATATAAAGATTATATGAGTGGATATATAATGATACGTGTATATATCTACTTATAGTTAGAGGAATTTAATGTAATAATTAAAACTATTAATAACCCTTTGAGATTTGTGCCTGATTTATAAAATTACCTACTTGTCTTTGGGCAAACAACACCAAATGTGTCACTCATAGTAACTTGTATGTTTTAATAAAATTGACAAACTACAATGAAGAGTCACAGAAATGTTAGGAAAATATTTTGAAATATTTTTCAAGAATATTCTTTTACATAAAAAGATACTCAGTTGTAAGTTTTTTCTTTTCCCAAAGTGCTTAAACTGTAAAGACGGATATAATGTATAGAACACCACAGCAAGAAATAAGACAAAAATTTCAACTTAAATCATGAAAAGCTTTAATAAAAAAAAAGGACCCACTAACCTTTTGAGTTTTGTTTTGAATGTAGAAAATTTTTAAATCTTTTCTCAGCTAATTTGTTAGGTTTCCTATCTAGCCGAGCCCAAAGGTATGGCTGACCTAAAAAATAAGAAAAAAAAAGTTTAAGAGGCAACAATAAAATTCAGCTTGAAAGACATTTCAGTATAACCTTTTTCAATAAAGGTAGGGTCATTTCCTCTAAGAGAAACAACTCAAAAGGCAAAGAGAAATATGCAGGATAACAAACAAAACAAATCTGACCCTTTCATAAGGACATCATCCCACAAACATATTAGAAACTAGCAATCCCGAGAAACTGAAGCTATCTCTTTGCTAAACGGAAACATAACCAGAAACTGCATTCACACCTTCTCTAAAATGTAACTATGTTAAGTTATGCTATGAGGACTAACCCCAAAAATGTGGAGTGAAGCTAAGTTGTTTTACATGGCTTTGACCCCTGGGGTCAAGGCCTCGAACGCTGATGAATAGTGATGCTTTGCAGTCAGGGGTCTGAGACGTTTCAGGGCAGGTACCAGCGTTTTTCTCGATAACAGTGAGACTAAGGAGTTGCACTTGGTCTCACTGAGCCTTCTGGGGGGGATGCTGCTGAAGCTGGTTACTTAGCAGGAAGATGCCTTCATGATCAGCAAAAAATAAAAATCCCCAGCTGGGACTCCATTTCAGATTCCCTCTTTCTGAGGTGTTCCCTGCCTACATCAGTAGTGGTCCCTAATTTAAAAAAGTTTGTCTTTCCTAGATTTGTCAGGAAGGTAAGAGAGGTGTCAGGGAAGGACCATAGACGCTTTCACAAGGTCTCATCAGACCCTTCACTAAGAGTCTCTGGTTGTGATGTGCACCCTTTGAATCCTTAAGTTTCTTAATAGAAATACATGCCTGTGTGCTAAGTCATTTTAGTCATGTCTCACTCTTTGTAACCCTATGGACTGTAGCCCACCAGGCTCCTCTGTCCATGGGATTCTACAGGCAGGAATACTGGAGTGGACTGCCTGGCCCTCCTCCAGGGAAATCTTCCTGACCCAGGGATGGAACCCACTTCTCTTATGCCTCCTACATTGGAAGGAGAGTTCTTTACCACTAGTGCTACCTGGGAAGCCCATAATATAAATATAAAATCCTAAAAAAAACTTTCAGTTTCTTCATATATAAATCAGTTATTTGAAAAATTATTGATTACAGTTTGGGTAAGGCATTCTACATTACATATTAGCTATACCAATAAATAATATGAAGAACCAGATTAAAACTACACTGTCATTTCTGTTGAATGAACCTTTTGTTCTTTTTAAAAATAAACATAAAAAATGCACTGCACACCCATTAACATGGCTACTATCAAAAAAATAGAAAATAACAAGTGTTGGTGAAGATATGGAAAAGCTGGAACTCTTCTATACTCCTGGTAGGAATATAAATAGTGCACTTGTTACAGAAGACAGTACGACAGTTCCTCAAAAAAAAAAAATAAAGAATTACTATACGATCCAGCAATTCTACTTTTGGATATATACCCTAAAGACTGAAAAGAGGGATTCTAAGAGAGATCTGTGTACCATGTTCATAGCATGGTTGTTCACAACAGCCAGTAGGTGGGAGCATCCCAAGTGCACACTGATGGAAGAACAGTATACACACACAACTATGTGGTATACACAAACATGTGGTATTCATCCTTTTATAAAGGAAGGCAATTCTGACATACACTACAGCACGAACGAATCTTAAGGACAATATGCTAAGTGAAATAAGCCAGTCACAAGGTGACAAATACTCTAAGACCCCACTTACATGAGTTACCTAGTCAAAATCCTAGAAACAAAGTAGTGTGTGAAACAGGGTGGGAGGCTGAGTTATTTAAAAGGTATAAAGGTTCAGTTTTGCAAGATGAAGAGTTTTCGAGATGCATGGTGTTGACAGCAACACAATGAGAACTGTACATACCACACTGAACTGTACACTTAAAAATAGCTAACATGGTAAATTCTATGTTATGTGTATTTCATCACAACAAAATGAAAAAAGATGCACTTCAGAAGAGATTTCCTATTATGAAGACTGTATCCAATATGCATTTAACTTTTATTTCTCTTGCTGGAATTGAGAAGTAATTTCAATATCCAGAAAAATAATTACAAAGATTATTTCTCTCTTTTCAATGCATTTTTTTTCCATAACATAGTTGACAATTTTGATTTGAATTTCTACCTCTTTTAAAGTACATTAAAATGAAACAAATTAGAGACACTGACAATAGTAATAAAACAATTGAATTAGCACTGGGATCAACAGAATAAGAACAAGCTTTAGGGTCACATAAACCTAGGTCCTATTACCAGTTGAGCCTTCATTAATTAAATGGTCTTGAACAAATTATTTATGTTCTCTGAGCTTTGGTTTCTGTTTCAGTGAAATGGGAGAGGCTTATTGTGCAGATAGATAAAGATAACACATAAAGCATTTATCATACTGTCTGGCCCTTAACCACTATTAAGTAAATATTAACTTATCTTCCTTTCTTCCCTCAAGAGAAAGATACAATGGTATATAGCAAGTATAATGTATCAATTGTGACTTTATTATTTTCCCATTATACTTAGGTTTCCAAGGGTTTATGAAGAGCACTTCAGATATATACAGTTTAAGTGATTAAGAAAAATAAATAATATTTGTAGTACAGTTTTATTTTACCTTTGTAGTTAGTAACATAACAACATGTTCCATCCACTTTTTCTGTTGGAATTGCATTGTATATATCTGCATCTAATGCCTTGTGACTTACAGTTTCAGTTGCCAAAACTTTAAATGGCTTAAAAGAGAAAGAGAAAACTGGTTTAAGATAAACAGCCTCTATGCCTTCTACATGCTCTCACCATTTCCCTAGTTCCAAGGTATGATCACCAGTTTATCCTTCAAAGTATTTCTCCTGTAAAGTCCTTGTAAGTCATCTCCTCCTCTTCTATGCTATCACAGCAATACATATTTGTCCACCGAGATTTGTTAAGTACAGTTGACTTGACCAACACGGGTTTGAACTGCATGGGACCACTTACTCGCAAATTTTTTTTCAATAGTAAATACTGCAGTGCTACACACAGTTAGTTGAATCCTCTATGCAGAAGCCTTGTTACGGAGGAAACTTGAATATGAGGGCCACCCACAAGTTATACTCGGATGTTAGGGGATCGGAACCCGAATCCTGGCATTGTTCACAGGTCAACTGTATCCACATGTTTCTTTACCCACCATAATGAGCTTGACACCAGGAATTATATCCTATGCAGAGCTGCATGCCTAGCTCAGGTGTTATGTGTGTTCATTTACTTGATAATCATTTGCTAAAAGCCTCCAAAGGGTTAAAGCACTGTCCTCAGCACTAGGATAGAGGTCAAAAGGCACCTGCCTTAGGTGGAACATTGATTTTAAGGAAGGAGACAACAGTCATAAAATGCATAATATAATGTTAAGTATGTTAAGTGCTAAGGAGAAAAACGGGCACCGTTCAGCTTTATCAGTAGTAAACTGGGTTTTAAATTTATGATTTGCTTACTGTCAGGAAGCCAAAAGAGCATCAAGAATGAAAGGGAAAAAAGTTCCAACCAACTTAGTGATTTCACTTCTGAGAAAGTCTATGCCACCGTTTTACAGTCTTTATGACACTTTTATCTGAAGGAAGACCTGCACCCTAGGGCCGCCCGAGCGGAACCTGCAGAGAGATCCCCGGGCTGCAGGGCGGCTCTACCGCGCCTGGAAACGCTCGCGGGTTCAAATGCAGCCCGTGCCGCGAGGAGGAGCCCACCCGTGGCCGCCCCGCGGGCCCGGCGGGCCGAACCCGCGCTCCTCGGTACCTGATGCTCCCTTTTGGTGGAAGGCTCCTCTTTCACCTCCGTCACAAACACACAAGGCATTTTCCGCTGCACCGACCCCAAGCGCCTCATGATGGGTCCTCAAGCAGTGCTAGTGGAGAGGGCCCTTCCGAACAGTGCCGGGTCCTGACCAGGGGAGCGTCCAGAGCGGTCAGCCGCGTAGTCAAGTCGCGAACACGCCGCGAGCTTGCCAGACAGCAGCGCTCCCCATTACCCCGGTTCCGAGCGTAGGGCGGGGACGCACGCCCGGAAACGGCCTCCTGGCCGCGGAGCCTTCTGGGAGTTGTAGTGCGGAAGCCGAGGTACCTTCGTGTGCGCTCTCGAGAGCGTCCCCTCAGGGTTCTAGTGACCGTGAAAATACAAAGATCCGTTTCTGGTTTTATCCGTTTCTGGTGTGTGTGTATTAGTAGCCGATGATATTTATGAAAATTAAATGTTATCAAGTGATAAGTAATGAATCATTTCAGGTGGCTATTTAACATCACTTTGATGAAACCGACTTGTGTGTTCCCTTTAATATGTTCCTGGGGAAAGCACTGTAGAAGCTTAGAAATATCCGGAGACATCTCAAAACGAAATGAAAAGTAATTTCCCAGGAAAAATGTTAGAAAAAACGCTACAGTTAAAACACCTGGGGCCAAAAAAAGAAAGAAAATTACCGTTTGATTTACGCCTCATTGTAAGGCATCATTTCAGTTCAGTTCAGTCGCTCAGTCGCGTCCGACCCTGTGACCGCAAGGAACTGCAACACTCCAGGCTTCCCTGTCCATTACCGAGTCCCAGAGTTTACTCAATATGGTCGAAATTGTTTCTGGTGGTTTTTTTTTTTCCCCAGAGTGAGTGCATATTTTAGCATTAGACCAGTTCCAAACCACAGGAATACCAATAACCAGATTTCAGTCTCAATTTTTTCATAGGAATCTCAGTTAAGTATGAGCTCCAACAGAGTTGGAATGGCTTGAGTACTTGTCAAGCAATCAACTGCAGAGCTAAAAACACTGACTTTCTCCTCAAAAGAATTTCGGAGGGTGAGTAATAACAATCAATGGTTGAAAAAATAAATACATTTTTAGTAATAGGAGCCTTTCTCACTGAAGCAAGTAGTCCGGAGTAGGGACTTTTAATTACTGCCATCTTTTAGGTGCTTTGACAATGCCCGAGTCTCTTTTTTTTTTTCCCCCGAGTCTCATTTTTATAATTGTCTTATCTGCAGGTATCAAAGTGCCCAGCATTTTCCTGATTTAGCCCTCAGGAAATTAAACTACTATATTTCACTTGGCGGTATCTATGTATAAGGGAATTCCCAAAGAATAAAATAACCCTCAAAAAAAGTCACTGTTTTTTGATTGCTGGATTCAGAGGGGAGGGAGGGAAGAAGAGATCGGCCTTAAAAAAGTATTTACTTTTTCTTTTACTATCTTTGACTTTCTCATAGGAAAAATAAAATAAATTTTAAAAGGGCTTCAGGGTGTGGGGGGTGGGGGGGTCCGGTGGCTGAAAACATCTAATGTAAGATCCTGAGACCAGAAAGGCCTTAACATTGCATAGTCAAAAACCAGTGACTTTTTGTTCCTCCACAGGAGTCCTAAACAGAGCTTGTTTCATAGGACTCAAGGAGGCAACAATGAAATAACTCTTAAAACTTGCAACTGTCATTTCCCCAACTGCCACAGAATCTTTTAGGTCCAACCTTCTATCTTTTCTGAAGATCATCTTCCAAAATATTCCACTTGCTGTTTGAAACTAGCAGCAAAGCTAACCCAAGTTTTAAGAAGCAAAGCTAACCCAACTTTTAAGAAGCAAAGCTAACAGAAGTTTTCAGAAGCAAAGCTGACCCATGTTAAGAAGCAAAGCTGATCCATGTTTTAAGAAGCAAAGCTGACCCAAGTTTTAAGAAGCAAAGCTGACCCATGTTTTAAGAAGCAAAGCTGACCCATGTTTTAAGAAGCAAAGCTGACCCATGTTTTAAGAAGCAAAGCTGACCCATGTTTTAAGAAGCACTCTATTTCTAATGCCTTGGTTTCATCAGTGCCTGGAGTAAAGCCCCCGGCAGAAAGAGGTAGTCCAACACTAGGGGAAGCCATTGGACCAGTTCACACTTTAGGCTCTGGACTCCCACTTTGACAAGGAGCAGCCTGCCCCTTTGATTCTCCTAAGTCTGAAGAGCCAGCAAGGACGGACTACCAGCCCCAGTACTTAAAGTGGTGTTACAGGATTCCACAATCTGAAAGAAAGACTTTTTCTCTAATGTGTTAGTGTTCTGACATGAACCGAAAATGAAATATTCAGTGCAGAGTATACTTTGGCCAACACACTCAAAAAACAAAATTTGCAGGCCCACCCTGAGTTGTGCAGGCAAATTTCTCATAACTCTGCTTTACTCATTATAGAGAAAAGTCATCCTGGGTATGGTCATAGCTTTCTCTGAAAAACTAGAAGGAATTTCACAACAGGAAAGAAGTGAAGAGAATAAGGAAAAGGTGGGGGAGAGAGTAGAAAGAAAGGAAAGGAAAAGAGAGCTGGAAAAAAGATGAAATTAGGGTTCCAGGCATGCTAAAGACTACCAAAATTCACAGATCTATTTACAATGACCCCCCCCCCAAAAAAAATCCCTTTGTGGGTTTGTGTTTTTGCTGTTTCTAATGGAACATAGTTGTTCAAAACTAACTTCAAGAGGTAAAGCATTTTTTCAGCCTTTCTCTTATGTAAAACATGGATTCTCACAATGGCTTTAATCATGATGTTAATGTAATCATGCAATAATGGTGTTTGGTAACAGTATTTGATAATAGTACAATGCAGCTAGCTGTAAGTTCATATGTGGAAAGGAAGTTTATCTGGAGGCAAAGACCACTTAAAGCTGTTTCTTAGGGGTGTTTCTCCCAGTAAGCTATGTGCTTGAGACGGGTGCATTGTTATTCTAGAATTAGAAGGTAAGGCAAAACAAAAGTTGAGATATTAGATTTTTCTATATATCACTGCTAATATTTTCAAGGATTTAAGTCAAGTTTTTATTTTCTACTTCATTTACTTTCAATGCTGCATGGCTGTTTTTGCTTTTCATTTTTGACTTTATTATTTTCCCTTATAATTCTTTGCTAAATTTTAGCATACTTTCTAGATTTTTATTCCAAAGCAGTGCACTCAAGTTCATACCAACTTATTCTGTTTCACTTAACCAAAGTGAATATGTCTTGATCTTGTAAATTTCCAATTAAAAGTACAAAGGCATTTAAAAATACATGCTGATCTATTGTAATTTCTCATCTCTATGGCATCTCCTAAATTACCTACTAAATATTTTTATTAATTTCTTCTAGGTTCTAGTTTTTAGTAAAGATACTAAGATGAAGAAAGACCTCAGTAACTGCTGATTGAAATGTCTCATTCTGGGAATTGGAGTACTTCACTTTGCTTTCAACAAATTCTCAAAATTTGCAAGGATCTGGAAACTTATTGCTATAGGAAGAAGCTCTTTCCCTTGTAATGATGGATGAAGAATGAATGGACTATAGCTACAAGATGAATAAGTAGTCCAGCTTATTTTCAGGTACTATTAAATATCCCAATCTGAATGGTTTTTCTCCCAAATCAGTGGATAGCGGTGAGTACATAATTTTGTTTTTATCTTGAAATAAATATAGCATATTTACTTATATAAAATTTTTAGTTTTGTTTTCAAATCATACATAGAAATAAGTCTAGAAAATAATTAACTTGTAAAATATTTAATACTTCTTAATTATGAAAGTATGAGCTAGTTTATATTCCATATTTAATCAGAACATTGAAGGATAAAATACACTGTTTTATTTGTATTAGCTTTTTCCAGCCAATAACTAAATTGAGTAACAGAAATACTGTACAGTATTCACTAAGGTAAACTAGCCTACAGTTAGATGTGAGGTCATTTATGATGAGCAAATAATGAATTAGGTAACAATGAGGAAAATTCTGGAAGTTTGAGTTTGTGTGCTTACTAGCAACCACTTTCAACATTTCTGCAAAGCTAGAGAAGGTATCTTCTAATTTAAATTTCTTTAAGAATTATCTATTGTGTAATATACTGCCAACAGGAGGTCAGTTTTAAAGGAATACTACTGATAGCCTGAAAGACTGTGGAAAAGAAATTCTTTTTCCCCTTACACACTGATAGTTCTTATATTTGCATTCCTGCAATTCTTATATTAAAAAACATTGGATTAACAGCAAGAGAGTTGAAAATGGCAGAAGTTGGGAATGACTGCTATTTCTTTTTTAATTCCGCATGCATAAAGGTAAATATTGTACAACTTATGGTACATATTCCACATGCTTAAGCTTTTTAGTAGAATGAAGGAAAATATGGCAACAGTTTATTTGCATGGCTGAGTCAAAATTTACTATTTTCCCACAAAATATTGTACATACTTAAAATATAAAGTAAAACCTTATCATATATTTTTGATATGTTGAGTTTCTCTGAGGAAATCTGGTAATATTTAAAATTATCTGAAACTATCCTTCTGTATGCCAGTTACAAGCCTATGGCTTTTTAATCCTCATGTGGTACTTTTGCCTATATTATGGCTCCTTGAAACATCAAATTACTAATATTGAAGCATATGGTATTTTGGTTAATGTGATTCCAGTCATATAAATTCAAATAGTTAAATTCAGGTTCACTATCAAACTCAGTTTAATAAATCTAATTGATTCCCTATTTTGGAATTTATTAATGAAATTATTGAATTTTCCTTTGTCAAAGTAATAGTAAATAATTAATATCATGGAAAAGGGCAAAAAATAATACAAATTGGCCAAACAAGAATTCAAGTTTACAAAGTTAAAATGGGGAAAAATGTCTAAGTGATTTGGATTAGTGGATCTCAGTGAAGCCAAATAAATGTAGAAATTCAATGTTTGGAGCTTCATGTTCATGTCAGAATGAATCCAGTGAAAGGCATGCTGTGTCTGGTTTGAAGCATTTCATGTCTGCTAGGACAACGGAATAGAGTCAACCTCTTAGACTGTAAGAATTAGATCCACTTCTATTACCTGTTACCTTAAGATTAAACCCTGGGATGATGATA